GAAATTGGAATTTCGCTGAATTGTCAGTGAAATCTGAAATTTTGAGTTTTTCCCTCTTACGGATATCCAAGTACTTCGGCTATTTTTTCTCCAGTGAAATGGTTTTCTACTTTTGTAGTCGAACATTACAGCTTTCATTTGAGCCCCATTTGACCCCAAGTTTCCGGGCATTTTACAACGATTTTATTATTCAAACTTTGCAGATCTGAATTTGAATTTCATATTGGACCGTTAGAAAACATTTTAAAAATCTGAAGAAAAACTAGAAAGTTTACTTTTGGAGAAAGATTGATGAAATATTTAAAAAATAAGGTTTTCGGAAGTTTAAACAATTTCACTTATTTATTTGTAAACAACTAATGTTTGAAAAAATAATAATTCTGTGCAAAATGTAATTTGAATGACGCTGAGCATTTATGATTAAAAAAAAAAATTTCTTACGCAATTTAATTGACAAATTTGATGATTGAAAGTGGTTGAGTCTGTAGTGTGGTCTGTACCGAACTGTAACAGATGCTTGGATATCCTTCAATCGCATTCAGTGTCACTCTTCTGACCATAACTGCACTGTCCATGAAATTTAAATTTTTTTCCAACACTGTACCGCGTTTGGTAAAAAAAACCATTCTCCGTCGCAGAAAAATTCCTGCACGAGAAGTTATTCACGTTCGTGGCACAATTTTCGGTGAAATAAATGGAATACAATTCACCATTCGTCTAGAACTTTTTGCCGAATAGGGTGAAACAGACCTAAACGTATTTCGCTCCACGATTCGACATTTGTCGACTTTTTTGGTAATTTGTCCCTGACTTTTTTCTCCGTGTACACTCGCAAGTGTTCGAGGGGCTTTGGAATGCGAGATTCGCTCACGAGAAGATGTTTGATTCAACGGGTATTGTTTTAGTGGAAATTCAGAAAAATTTGAGAATATATTATTCTGCATTCAGCATTTAATTACATTCTTCATACTGTCACACAATGGGTTTTTATTCTGTTCAAATATAGTGATGACAGGATTTTTCTTTTCAACAATTAATTAATCAATTAATTAATTAATTTGCAATGAATTTCCGTGGAGTTCGCGATAGAATTAGAATTTTTCTATGCGAAAGACCTCAGCAGTATTTTTTGCGGCTCGAACCCGCGATTTTTCTCTCGGTACAGAAAGATGATGACGAGGAAGAGGTGCAGATTACCGCGCACACCCGCATAATTTTAACCTCGAACTAGTTCATCTGCCCCGAATGACAGCTGATCAATTTCGATGTTAGCATACTTGATACAATGGGCTTCTCCTCGGGTGCCGTGTTTCGTGTCCACGTGAATGAAACTAATACCAAGACGTGTCAATGATCTCGTTAGTCATCGAATGGGGAGAACGAGTGACCATTTTTATATCGAAAACCTGGGGAATCAATAGTCGACAAATTAGCCGCCGGGCATTCTGCCAATTGCAGCGGATGAATACCCCCATTTTTTACAGCGTGAGACATTGATCATAGAAATTTTTCCGGAAAATGTAATTCCATGTAAAGAACCATTACATGTTGATAAATTCATGTTGTTCCCCGTTGAAATAATGGTTTCATGTCGGAATAATGAAGTCGTCATTTTGGTTTGGGTTCGAAATGGAACGGGAGTCTCATTGTTCTCGAATTCTTCCACAGTGTAATTCTTTCAGTGAATAAAATGCGTGTAAATACGAAAACTTGACGATAAAGTACCTTTGGAGGGAGATAAATCGGCGATATGAACTGGCAATCGTGAGATAATTTTCGCTCGGTTGAGGAATCATGCTGACGCGTTGGAAGAGCAAGGACAAGAGCTCCTCGAAGAGTTCATCCAGCGGAAGTGGCAGCAAGAAAAAA